GATATTTATCTTCAAACTGAATAACGATCTTGAAGACATTTTTATTTAAAATTTCTGTACTTTTTCTCTTATATCGGTCTTACACATGACGCGGTGGGACATCAGTCTGTAAATGGTTTCAAAGTATATTAACACTAATACTTGAAGATAACGTAATTTATCTAACGATAAAATGGGATAGTCCAATCATTATTCGACAAACATTTTATATTGGACCTTCGTGATTACCTTTATTGACAACTTATCTAGTATCCACGTTGTCTATAAGTAATTAATACTGTATTTTAACATAATTATCATATTATAGGAAACGTTTTAATATTTTTTTAATAAATTTATTATTCTTTTTATATCTATACATATAATAACATTAAAATATCTATTTGTAATATCAAAAGGAAAATCCCAGATTTTGGGAAGATACGTATTTGCGTTACTGATAACGAAAATCGCATTCGAAAATATTTGTCTGTCTGCCTGTCTGTCCGGAAACTGCATTTGTTCCAGGTAATCTCCAAAACGGCTGAGCTGATTTCACATGACATAGACAGGCATATTATAGGCTACTTTTGTATATTAATATGGCGTGGCCGAAGTCGCAGGCAACAGCTAGTACGCTATAAATACGTAACGCAAAAATATTATTTTTATAAAATAAATAATTCGTCAGAAAGCCCCATATGATATGGGTTTGAGTGAGTGAGGAAAGGCATTGTAAGGCCGTCTATTGTTATCCGATATCCAATCCTGCTCATAGCCTTACGACGCGTCGTTTCCATTCCGGAGCCGAGCTTTCCTCGTATTCTTTACGACGTAATGACAAAATGTGTTTCAACAACAAAAACTTTAATAACACCCATAACATATACATTAAAATACAGACAATTTGTTAAAAATTGAACGTACATTTTGTGTTATAGTTATCGTTTGTTTTTTTTTTTTGGTATTGTAAAATAATGTTAAATACCAAAAGCATTGTTTCGACTACGATACATATTAAAAAAAGCAAAAATCCGTGTCAATTTTCTATTATTCTTAAGTTTTAAACTAACAATGCATTATGATGAAGAATTAATAAATTATACTTGTGATGACTTTATTAACTATGACTTTATTAACACAGTTGCAGTTACTTACAGAGACAAATGAAAATAGAAACTATTATTTTAGTCTAAAACCACCAAAATTACTAATAAATCGATATCAATTTGCGATACTATCATCTCCTCAATACGTGTCAATTAACAAAGGATATTAAAGCTCACTATAGAGGCTAATGCATAATTCATGTTATAATATATTTAGTAATACCTCCGGGCATTCAAAACAGATCGCCGTGTCATCCAAGTCATTAGAATAACAAACCATCGCAATCAGCAGGTTTCCGCTTCTGCGCGTTTAATTCTAGCCTACAATCGATACAGCTTTACATTCTATAGCTTTTGTAGGCTATGTGATTGTGCTTGTCATCGCTGCACTGTTATACATCTCTATTTTATTGTCCATTCATCCAGATAGCATTCAATACCTCCAGCCTACACTTTACTGCGCAGCAATATAGTTCCTGAACGCTGTTCCTATTGACAAATATATAATATGATGTAGGTGAGTTTACAGAATACCATTTAGTACGATTTTAACATTCTTTTCCATACAATAAACATATAGTCATGAATATTCGCAGTACTCCATTTACAGAAAACTTTCTTTTACAACGAGACTTCTTCCTCTTCTTTCAAAGGAATGAGTTTAAAAGCTGAGTTCTATTAGTAATAGTTCCGCGTCCAGATCTCAATGTACAAAACTTTCAAATGACTTAAGATTTTTTTTTTATAATAATGGCAAACGAGCGGCGAGAACACCAAGGTGGTCAGCGACGCCCATGGACATCCGCAACACCAGAGGAACTACAGATGCGTTGCCGGCCTTTGAGGAAATGATAGGCTCGCTTCTTGAAGTACCCTCAGTCGTATTGGTTTGGAAATACCGCCGACGACAAACCGTGCCACAACGAGGCTGTGCGGGGCAGAAAGTTTCGCGAAAACCGCACGGTTGTGGAATGCCAGCCATTGAGATGGTGAGGATGGTACCTGGCGGTCTGTCGTGTCGTCCGATGACGAAACTCGGCGGTAGGAGTCGTTCCAAACAACTTCTCGGAACACTCACCGTGGTAAATGCGGTAAAATATGCAGAGGGAACTGACGTCCCTCCGCAAGGCTAGAGGATCTAGCCGATCAGTAAGAGCTCGGTCGTTGACGATTTGAGTTATATCACCGCCAGATTCCCCGATTGTATGTTTAATAACCCTTTATACCATCTAATCCTACTTGTATGAATTAGTAAGAGTAGGTATTATTATTAACTTAGAGCAGCACATACTGTGCCGACCCTCCATAAGGGATAAGGGCAAGTGGATGATGAGGTATTATTATTAACTTGCGGCTAGTTATTTATAAAGTAATATAAAAGGGCGCTGGGAAAAGCCTTACCATATATTGCTTGTATTTTGGATGACATGACGTTTATTGAATGAAAATGGTAATTAATGGGAATAAATAAAAAGCAAAGTATAACGTCGTATTATTTATTTTCGTCTGTGTTCCAGCCGCCCGGTACATATACGAGCGGCGTTGGTTACGTTTAATACACGTAGTAACGCTACTTTATCAAATTTTCGAAATACTGATATTATCTGTGAGGCCGAGGGCCTCGCAACGCAAACGAACGGCGGCGGCGCCCCCTGGCGGGCCCTTGCACACCTACTCTATGAACACCTAAGGTACACGTACATACAGGACACGAAAGGCAAACAAAACACTATTTACATGCAAACATCTGAATAACAATTAGAAAATATTTCATTATTGCTCTACATCTGATGCTCAGACCCTCCAATCGCATTGAAGGGCTTTGGGGTTTATAACTATTTCCTTTCCGTTATCCAGTCAATGAAAATAATATCTCACACGACTAAAATCAATTTATAAGATAAACACATATATCGATCTCGACTCACATTTATATAGAAGCATTGTCTAGTTAAAATTTTATCAACAACAACTCCGCGATACAACAATCGTTATTTGAACACCAAGAATAATTAAATTAATTTATATACAAAACATCTCACAATAAACTATATTCTATTCTCTACACTTGTACAAAGAAATATCGTTTGTACAGAAAATAAATGCAACATTTAAACGGGCCAGTATTTTAAAGAATTCCTTTGTAAAACTCTAAAAAAATCCTATACCAAAATGGAAGAAACAGACTCGATGAATTTAATAAAACTTTAGGATCTTTAAGACCAACAGTTATAATTTATTTATGGTTTTCATTTGCACAACACGTAACAAATCTATCTATATATAGGAGAGTGTAGGGCGAGGTTTGGGAGCGCCGCCGCGGGAAAGCCAACGCAAGCTGTGCGCCGTCGTCACTACACTACCGGTCACGCACTGTCGAGCGACACTTCAAGTCCCACGTATATCTATGTAGATGTCATATGAGCGGCGACAATACACTGTTAGACTCATAATGGAAACAGTGTCTTTATAAAGCTAGCTTCACACGACAGTAGCACAGCAGAACTGCTATTGCGTGCATTTTCAGTAAGTAATTATGTTCTTCGTAGAGCTGCTCTCGTGTGAAGCTGTCAGAACATTGGAATTTGAATTCTAAAAGATTTATGACGTCACTTTAATCTGTAACAATTGTTAGCCGTCCATGTGACATCTCAGTTAGTACTATAATATCGGTTCGTATTGTTGGATTTAACAATAATTCTTATACAATATTTTTCCACACAAACCCTGTTTTAATTTCAATGAGTTTACAAAAATTAGGATCGTTTTATTTCGTGGCATGACATGAAAATTTTATAAATGAAATTTTAATTACATAAATACTAAAATTAAATAAAAAAAATAGTAAAGGAAGTGACTAAAATATTTTCACTAACAAAACATTTAAAAAGAAAATATCCTGTTGTGCTTCACTTGCATACTAATTCAAGGGTAATCAAAGCAGTTTCCTATCTCAGTAAATACATATTTTTCTAAGCAACATTTTTTTCTATATAGAGCTATTCTTTTTTATAGAAATTACCAAATTTATTAGGAAAGGTTAATCAGTATAAGAGAATCAAGAATAAATCTGGCACCACAATCAATTTAAAAAAAAAAGTATCGTATTATGATGAAAAATTGTATGTAGTTTGATATAGTGTATTCCCACTGAAATATCTACAAAAAAATATAGTTATTCCATTAACTCAAAAATGGAATAGCAATATATTTCTGCACAAATATTTCGTCAGTGGAAACCGACGGTTATGTGAAATTAAACTACCAATACCCAACGATACAAACCGATGAACTATGTAATACAAATTTTAGTAGGCGTTATAGTTTAACATTAAATATTCATTACACTTTTTTTTTTAATTTATAGCTAAAATTATATTGTCATTGATTGTCAACCTTCAGATTTGAGTCACACACCTTCAGTTTTAATTGAATATTTTAAACGTGCGTAAGAAACTATAGTTTGTCTAAATAAAATAGATTAGTTTGATAAATGACGTTATGAAGTATCGAATTCAATTTCTATGAAGGCAAATGCCATACTTAAAAGACAGGTATCATAGTGACGAACAAACACGCATAGCGAATAATTTGGAACTATCGATATTCGGTTTAAATAATTATCGAACTCGACAAAAATTATTATTTTCTTATTAACTAATGTATAGGACAATCTAGTATTGATTATAGTGTAGAGAATTTAGCAATGACAGAAATAATAGCGAAATCCAATTCAATTACGTACGGCTGTAGTAGTAATAAACATTTATTTACTCTCATTATGTGTTATCGTCATTATTAATTTAAGAAATGAGTGTTTTATTAATTCATAAATTTTAATTACAAACCTATCGATTCCAACTTCTGCAAGAATAAAAATCAAAAATCGATAAAATTCATAACTGATTTTACACAACCCATCCCTAATATATTTTAAATGAATTGTCAAACTAATCTAAATCATTTAGATTCACTATAAGAATTACAGGCTGACGGTTGGAATGTTGCCAACACCTGTTTTTAATAAACAGTCTAAACTTACATTTATAACCGAAGGTGTGTAGCTGGCTTTAGACATTTTAATGTACGTGCATGAATTCCTTGTCACAAGCGATCAATGAAGATTTATATTCAACAATTTTTGTTACAATGTTACCTGATACAAAAGTATTAATACTAATTAAATCCCGTCGTGCGTAATAAGAGAAACATATTTTTATTTTAATGTTATAAACCGATAAATTAAATTTTATTAACAACATATTTTTTTATCTACATTAGTTGACTTCACTTTTAAACTTCTCCCAAATGCATATTTTTAATAATAAGTCGATTAACTCGTCTACAACTAAAATTCAATTTCTATTTTACTCTAAACACTTAGTTTAGTTCACACACCTAAAAAGCAGAAGGTATGAACTCATATTACATTCACATTGGTAGGCAAAATGTGTATTCAGAGAATTACGTCAATATTACAAGAAGTTTTCCCTAAATTTACGCACGATGGAATGACAGTACAGAGTTTAAATTTCTTTAAACAATTATATTTTAAAGTTTAATTATTTATTATTATAGTTTCTGCTCAGCAACATTCGACTTTCATAATCATCATAGGAAATACACCTAAATACATCAACATACTACGACTACATATTCCTCTTGCAAAAAGTTATTTTTTTAAATAGTTTATAAATTTATATCATAGATTGAATAATTAACAATGTTATTTTGAGATATATTATAAACTAATGAATAGCATGATAAACAAATAACGATGGTGCATAAGACGCGATTTCGAAAAGAAATTTCAAGAATCAGATTACTATCGGCTGAAGGAATTCGTGAACGAACGTTACTCAGTTACATTAGGCGAGGTCAAAACAAGTATTAATGCCGGACTATATGGAAGGCTTTGGATATATGATGCCGATATTATAAGTGAGGTTAAATCATTACATGTGCTTGAAATCGATGAGTTATGGAACAGTGATACGGTCAACATTCATACAAAGCACTCCATATAACCCTACCTTAAGTATTCAGTATCACAAACGAGAAATAGGTAAAACAGTAAAGTATCAAAAACATTGTGTCCCATATCAGTCGTGTTATTTGTGCAATGCTATTATAATAAACAGTAATAACAAAACTTCGCCTTGAAGTGTAGCTCAAAAGTTGTTTGTAACCAAACAGCCTCCGGCAGACATATAAACAAGTGTAATTAATACGTTACATTCTCTATTTAAAATGGACCAATCATGGCAGTGACAGTCGAATCAGTGCTGTCATTGGTCAATTTCTACCACTCTTATATGTCTAGCAGACGCACGTCATAAGAACTGAGATGCTATTTCAGAATCTCGAAGGATCATAGATAGATTGTTTAGTTGCATAGTTCTAAAATAACAAATCGAATGTTCGACATTCGAAAATAGCAAATAGACCTTGAGATTGCGACCTCAAAGGATTACACCATTCCTTCATAGAATTAGCGACTCGTAAAAATGCTCCACTAAATCTATTTTAGTTTAATATACCGTTATACAATTATAGACATTAATTGAATAATGAACAAGGATTACTTCGAATATTTAACTTTCAATCAAAACTGCTTTGCTTTAGCTTTACCTCTTAGACGTCGCCAACCGATCACGCAATCGCTCGTTCTACGACGGATGTCCATCGCTACGCTGTACGAGCTACTTCTGATATGGTCTCAGTCTCAAGACAGTCCATACGTCTGATCTATGATACGATCTCCCTACTCGACCTACTGACTTGTGTTCACTATCGACACTACTACATACGACTTCCCATACGATGCCTGTCGATCATTTTGTTAGTCAAAATATGTTGGTTGATATTTGGAATGTACTGCACGATCTTCAACAGTTGACCGCATATTTTTCCAGTGTCGAATGTGCACGCAAGCCTCTGATATGTGGGATGATGTGTAGCGCGTCGGACCGTCCGTCGCCGCCCCGCCCGACCGGTACAAAACTGGAGCGCATATACGTATATTATATACAATGTACAATACAATATGATAACGCTATAGCTACAGATGCTACGGGGCGGGACGCCGGCGGCGGCGAGGCTCCTGCCTCACGCATCAGAAGGTAAACATTCTCACAATAATATACATCATAAGTCGCTCTATATATAACAAACATTAGACGAACGCGCACCACGCTCGTTAAAAACATAATATACAGCAGAATCGTAGCACTCTTTCGATTCAATAAAAAAATTGACTAGAAAATTTCAATTCGCTATGAGCACTATGTGTGCGTGGAGGGCGAGGAGAATATGTCGGCGGCACGCCACGCCTCCGCCTCCTCCTCCGCATCGTACTGCTGCAGGAACGGGTTGGTGGAGCTGTAGCGCGGGCTCAGGCCGCCGCTCGCAGCGCTCGAGTTGAGCGTCACCGCCAGGCCGGCCGATGTGCCCGGTATAGCCGAGCGCGGGGATTCGCGCGGTGTCGACTCCCGCGACGTCATCTCTCGGGGCGTGAGGTCCCGTGGCGTCATCTCACGGGGTGTGAGATCCCGAGGCGTCAAATCTCGCGGCGTCAGGTCTCGCGGCGTGGACTCGCGTGGTGTGCGCGGGGAATCACGCGGGGAGGCGCGAGGGGAGTTCCTTGGCGAGGCTCGCGGGGAGGCGGCGCGCTCCGGCTGCCGCAGGATAGACGACACAGAACCGCCATGTTTGATGGTATCCGCCGGGCTGTGGCTGCCAGAGCTGCTACTGGGTGAACCGGGAGATGAGACTGTCACCTGCCGGGAGCGAGGTGGAGCGGGCAGAGGGCCGCGCAGCGGCGACTGCGGACGATATTGGCCGCCCCTGACTGATGAGAGAACCTGCAATAAATTATGAATAATGTTATGTTAAGTTTTAAGCTTTGTTAATTAATTAAATAAGTGTACATACATGTGCGGGCGGCGATCGGTCGGCTCCGTGCCGAGCCAAGAGAGCTGGCGGCGGAGATGCTGCTGATGCTGCCGCTTGAGGCCGATATGGACTGGCTGAGGGCAGAACTCGGCCTGCGCACACGTAGACAATGAGTAAAGTCGGACTATAGTGGATTAAACTACAAATAAAATCTAGCAAGTGTCAAAACATGTCAAGCCTCCAACGAAAAGAGAGAGGTTGTTTAGTACAATAATATTAACTAGTTAGTATAAAATGGTGACCTGGGGGTAGGGTGGCTGAGCCCGCTGGCGATGCACTGACTCTGTTTCCACGCGGCCCGGTTGCTGGCTCGCCGCGCCGAACTGTCTACAAACATACATGCGTTAAGGTACCGCTTAGCCATTAGTCTGTTGAATACATTTGGTACATACACGCTGCAACTTTGTGTCTCTGAAGTTCTTAAGTAAACTTGTAATAAGAAAAAAGCATTGTCTTATCGCTTTGTTTAAATTTGGAGTCTTTTCAGAGATTCAAAGTTTTGTAGCAAGATTAAAATATATAGTGTTATGCATAAGTTGTAAGTGAATTTTGAAAATTGTTGATTGTTTTTGAAAGGAATAAGTATATAGAATGTCTTAATGTTTCTAGTGATAATAGTTGCCAATAAAATTACTGAACTAATAATTTGTATAACTCAGTTCGGAAAACAGTAATTAAAAACATTTGAAACTAAATAAAAAAACAACATGCAAAATTGGTCACCTTTATATAACTTTATACGTAAACAACTGCGCATTATATATTTATTAAGAAAAACGTATAAAGAGAAAAAGAATTGCTCCTAATAATAGCTAAATGAATGGACATCGATTAGTAGAAGGTGAAGGTATAGCATAAAAAAACATACAAATGGATAAGTAGCTTCTCGTGATAGCTGAAATGTTTATGAGTTGCATACTTATGAATAAAATCAAACTTGTCAACAAATTTAATGAATCTAATTATCTAAGACTAGCGTAAGGGTAGTGCTAACTACAAAACTATTTTGTGTGTATGATTGTATCTTGTATGGGTTGGTAGAAGCAGTTTTCTACCGGTCGTGCTGTGAGCGTTCGTTGCGGGTTTCGGCGGGTCTACATTCGATGCTCTGTGGCATTGGAGGTGACATTACCTGAACGTTTAGGCGGGGGCCATATTTGTAGTAAACACTGTAGTACGTGTATGGGTCTTTTATAGTCTAGTTCGTTAGGGGGTTGTGAGTGTAGCATGAGGGGCGGCGCAAGTGCCACGGCTAGGTGCTGTGGCGACATCTTGTTGCGATCCTGTGCAGCCACCACCAGAGCTAAAGCAGAAACAAGACGTTTAATCACACGGTTAACTTTTAAAAAGCCATTTTTTGCAAGGTGGGAAACGAGCAAGCGGCCACTAATTCCGCCGAAATGGCGTAGCAACCGCTGCCCATAGACATCCGCAATTGCAGATGCGTTGCCTACCCTAGATCAACGGAGGAGGAGACGCACATAAGGAGCATTTTTCCCCTTTTATGCGTCTCCTCCACCGTCAAATCTACTTCCACGTCCATTCCTTTTCTTATAAGTAAGGGATGTAGCGAGAAAGGGATTAAAATTGTGCCTCCGGCACCACACTCTATGTTTGTTTTTATATGTTTTTTTTTCAAATACTTCTTTGTAATATTGCATGAGCTTCCTATTAATTGAAGTTATGGTATGATATCTGTATATTAACACGAATAAAAATTCTTTAATAAAAAATACAATCGCTTCATATTATAGGAATCAGTTTCAGAATCATAACGTACCTATATTCTTTGTTCACTTACGCATCTGAAATGTAGTCATTAGCAATAAACAATAGCTAATAATTAAATTATTTCCCCAAATTTTAACAACTTCTCTTTATATTTACTTCATTTTCTATGTAAATGTGTTCGTGAAAATACATATTTTAACAGTTTTTTTTTTTTTACATTTCGCAAAATAATTTTTGTATGAATACCTAAATGATCAAGCAGGAAGACGAGTGTAGCACGCGCAGCTCGTGGCAAACATTCCACAATAGATGCCATCAGCCTCGCGTTACCTTCCCTGTCATCTGGCAGACAAACCCCTAGAACATAAGAACAAAGTTAAAATAAAAGGCAAAAACTACAAATTGTGTATGTTTCATTTTGAATTCCTTATGTTACACTTCATATCTTCACTTCACTCATTTCATCAAAATCCGTTCAGCTGTTTAGACTACAAGCACAAACAAACATCCATCCATCCATATAAACTTTCGCATTTATAAAATTAGTATGATTAGGACGAAGAATAACATACCAAGAGCATCTAATGTCATTTGATACAAACACCGACTGAAGAGTGGTTGCGGCAGCTCCCTGAGGTAATCCTTGAGGAGGCCAGTGATGACGTTGATGTCAGGAACAGAATCCGGAGTCAGCTCGACACCTCGGGCGTTGCGCTCAAACGCTTCCCGCAAGATTCGCTTTTTACTTGCCGCACCGCACAACCTATATAGACCTGTGAATAAAACACCACAAAATTAATAAAGCGTAGTCCTACAGAATATAAACTGTCTCCTAAACTGGATTTGATTCAAGTTCAGAGCGATAGCTACTCTAAGCTACATGAAAGTGTAAGCTTTAACCTACCTATGATATCGAGGCCACGGCGTTCGATCTCCTCTACACAGCGCCTCACGATGAGAGGCACGGGCGGGGCATGCGAAGGCCTCACCTCCCGGGCGACCACCGATTCCAGTTCAGCGCCGAAGAGCGGCGGCGGGGCAATGCGCGCAGTCGCAGGTCGCCGCCGGAACAGTTCGTTGGGTTCCGTGTGCCGCAGTTTCACGTACAGCAAGCCGCGTGGTTCCAACTAGTCATCAAATTATTTATGCATAACATCATTCCCTTTTCACATTTACTGTCTTTGATTAACCTCAATGGTATACAAATCTTAATAACCCTTACCTTTATAGCGACCTGATGCAAGGGCGGCGCGACGGTGAGGACATCGGGCAGCAGCGCGAAGCCGCGATAACACAGCTTGTGACGGTGCTGTGGATCCCACGAGTAAACCAGCACATCCAGCTGCCGGTTGTCCACCAGCTCCAGCTCAAATGACTCGTCCCACTCAAAGTTTAGCTCACCTGTGCGCACCTTCGAACAATAGTTTTTTTTATATGTATAACTGACGAACGAAACATTAAAACTATATTCAGTGAAATATTTAAAACTTTATTTACCACAGTCCTAGCCTTATGGACTCTGTCACACTCCAGTACGCAGTACAGGTCTCTGGGAGTGACTGGAGGCTGAATCGGCGCCAGTGGGCCCGAGGGCGGGGTGTCAGGCGAGTGTCCCGTGGGGTGCGTCCGCAATTCCTTTCCCCCTGATAGGTGTATCCAGAGCATGCCCGATAAACCCCCGCCCGATAAGCGGGAAAGCCCCGTCATTGAAGAAGACAGTCCAGGTTTCTCTGGTTTGTATTTAACGTAATCTGGAAATGACGATTCCTTTGAAAAATAATTGAATTAAACACAAAGTTGAGTTTATGGGGACTTATCAGATTCCTATACACTGAAAGCCTCCTTTACTAACTCTGTCAATATCAAGAAGAATATTCTGTAGAAAGAATAATTCAAAAGAAACAGTCACTGACCATTAACATTAAAGTCCGAAGCCCGGTGGTGTCTGGAGCTGGGTGTAGGCACGGGGCTGGGGTTGGGGCAATTGAAACGAGATCCCAGCTCGAGCAGCTGCCGCACGCGGCGTGTCGAAGGCGAGCCGCTGGGCCCCAGCTGTTGGGAGGAGAGTGAGCGTGCGGGCAAATGCCGCGGCCGCTCCATTCGCCGCGCCAAGCCCAGCGACGACCCGAACCGGCTGCCGCTCTCCATCTGTATACATACAAGAGAAACACGTATAAACTTGTGTCTTACTGGCGCATTCACAGTAGTTAATTGCACATTAACAGAGGTCGCCGAGGAAGGTCTTCAATAATTCTCACGTTTAATAACATGAATCACAAAAAAAGACAGAGTTAAATGTCAAATGAGACATTTTGGACTTGAAACCGCAATAAATAATTAGTAATCATACCTTTTTTTTAAATTTAGTTAGATTTAAGTAATTACATTCACATTAAATAAATATTGCCAAGTGTAACTTAAGCAAATAATTATTTATTTTGCATTTAAAGCAAGCAAAAGTGTTTGACGAATAAAAGTAACAACTATTGTTTTGCTTTATGCAAATAAATACAGCCGCTACAAAAAAGGTATTAAATAATTAAGCTTGTACAAGAAGTTATTTTAAAAAAAGACATCAGAATTTTGAAGATAAAAATACATTACTAGAAGAAACATTGGTTTATGCAAATTATTTTTTCGGAGATATTTTACTAAGCATAAAATCCACCTAAATATGTACAAGTAGGTAATTAAGAAAATAAAATAAAAACAATACTTACGTTTTTGAGCGCGTCGTGTATATTTTCAGCGGAATAGTGTGTAGGAAGGCGAGGGCGTAGTGTTTCGTAAAGTGCACTAGTTGAGGGCGCTCGTGACAGCCATGCACGGTACTCATCGGATGTGAACACTGAAGGCGAAGAAGGCAGACGACCTGTCATCGATGAGGCAAAATCATTCACAAACGTTCACACTTACCTCCACAACGTATATTTATTGGCAAAAAGAAATATCACATCGTAAACATTTTGTGATTTGACAAAAAATGGTGAAATTAAATAGCGGAAATATAAAGACATTTTTATTTAGCTTTCAGGAATACCTCTGGAAGAACGAAGATCTAAACGCGATGAAAGTGGTTCGGGTTCGTCTTGAAGAACGCTACCGGCACGTCTGGACAAGCCCAATCTGATGGAGATTTAAAAAAAATTAAATGGTCGTTTGAATAAAGAACCAGAAACCGATGAAACAAAAAATTCACCTTTGGCCTGTTCCCCTAACATCTCTTGGTAACGAGTTGAACTTCGAACCAATATCTCTTCCCAAGGTACTACTCCTGTAGCCACTAAGTCCCGAGTAGTATGGGGTTCTAGTAGGAGCTGTGGCTTCCGTATCTGAAGAATAATCCAAGCTTCGATTCCTGCGTGTCGTACCGAATTTACTGCTGTACGAAGGCAATCCCAAACCGGTTGTACCGTATCCACCGCCTAAAGTTGAACCCAAACCGGTTCCGGTGAGTCCAGCTCCGAGTCCTGTGCTCGACAATCCGGATCCCACTAAACTGGATCCTGTTAAACCACTGAGGCCAGTCGTTGAGAGACCGGAAGGTAAACCCGATCCACCAAGGCCGGAACCCGATAAACCAGTTCCAGTTAATCCACTGCCTGGGAGAGGTGGACCAGTCATTCCAACGCCACCATATCTGTGGTTGTATCTTGATAAACTTGCTGCTGCAATTACAGAAAAAAAAAATACATTTCAAGTCTTTTAGGTGCTACTAAGTCCAATATATGATTAATTTGGTAGAGTTTGGTTTACCTCCTCCAGTAGCAGCAGAAGCCTTTAAGCTGGACCTGAGCAGTGAGTGCCGGCCGAAGTCGGCGTGAGTCTCGGCGCGTGGCAGCTGTTGTTCTGAGCCCGAGCGCGGGACTCGCCCGCCGAACCGGGTGCTGGGGAAATGCAAATCCATACACACAACAATTTTGTTTCTTGTACAGATTATATGCATTTAAAATTAAAAATTAAAATAGTTTACGCCTGATTTTTATCTTTACTGAAATATCTAGTTTGAAAAATGCAGACACACTTGGACTATGTCTTTTCTTGAACCAAGTGTTATTTTTTTCTTACCTTCCACTATCCTGTGGGTAGAATGAGTGCACTTTTTCCGCTAGGCTCTCCAGCGTGTTGGGATAGGATCGCTCATATGGCACGAAGTGTGTCGCCGTTGACTTTGGCTGTTCCGTTATGACTGGTGGTGGCGGCCGGTAACTGTATAACATTGATTAACAAATAACCGTCATTATAAACTCTCATCTCTCTCTTATCCCTTCATTGTATGAAAAAAAAACTCGTATCCATAGAAAGAACAAGATTATCTTAAGAACTTCTTCTACTTCTTTAAGAATTTTCTAAATACCTCCAAGTGGAATGATCCGATGGCGGCCTTGAGTTGTAATACAGATCAAGCGGCGTGGCATCGGGTGATAGAGTCCCGAGCTGTAGTCTATTCCTCTCCTCTCTGCCGTCGCCAACCGGCCGCACACCACCGCCGGGTCCACCCGTCGAACGAAGGGTGCCGTGTCTGGTATATCAAAATTAAATTCAGTATCTTTATTTAAAAATCATTTTAACTGCTTTAACACGCAGCATCCAATCTTTTTTAACTTCATTGGTCTATAAGCAAGTTTACAATTCCATAGAAAACATAAAGAGGATAAATTGGGTTATAAGTTATTTCTAACAGCGGGCGCATACCTTTAATTAAACTGTCGCACGACTGAAGTGCGATTATCGATTGTTTAACAGCCCCTTCAAATGTTTAGTTGTACAACTACTCGTAGTAAGCAAGTAGTGTGCGTATCTCCATATAAACTCATAGGAATCTAAGTGCGACTAAACAGTTGCGTCAGTTTAGTCAAAGTTGTCCGTGCACTCTAACTGTTAGAAACATAAAGATAAGCATTAATTTTCTTAGAACATACTGTGAATATAGGCCATCAACGCGATCTCTGTCACGGTCGTCGTCATCCCGGCAATCTCTCTTCAGCACGACGACAGGTGGCGGCTTGTGCTCGGCGCGCGGCAGCGATGGTGAACCCGGCCCTGATTTACCTGCAGTATTAGTGTACACTCATAACGAAAATAATACAGATAGAGAAAAGAAAAAAAAACAAAAGAAGAAAGACATAACAAGAATAAGATTTGAGAAATACTATAAGAAAGAAGGAACTTAAATGTGAAGAAATAAATCTTGAATACAATCATTATGGAATTTTTCAACGAATGGGTTGGCACCACCAGTGAAGGCTTTTATTACAATGGCAGTCGTATCTAACATTTCAAAATATTTTGTACCTTTCCTTTGTCTTGTACATAACAACAATCTTCTTGGTATCGACATGATTATGACCACATCATCCAACGACATTCGCCTGACGTCCACTAAGTTCACGGCTAAGATCTCATCGCCAACTTTCAAACAGCCACTGTTGTAGACTGCTGACTCGAGTGCTATCCGGGAGATGAATACTCCATCTGTCCTTCCTCCGCCGTCCCCTTCCCTGATATACAAGCCTAGAGTCTGGCCTGGACGCTTCACTATCTCCACCAGTTGGACTATATGACGGGTGTCCTGTAAAATAAAAATAAAATAAATCCACATTTATAATGATAATTAAAACTTTAGTTAGTTTAACTACATTTATTGAAACTAATAGAACGAAAAAATATATAGAACCTTAACGTTAAGTAGAAGATTAATTTTAAGTAACATTTTAACAAAAATGTTATGAAATTGATTTTTATACATGATTAAAAAACCTTCACATTAAAACAACACAAAAGCTTTTATTTTTTTACTCCTTTTGTGACAAAACCATGCAAGAATATAAAAGAAGTCCTTCCTACAACAGTTACAAAAGAGCGCAATTGCAAACCGCAAAGTGCCGGGATATGTAAACGTATGCGGTCCAATCGACCGCAGGATCCCGGCGTTGCATAGCTAGACGCGGGAACAAACTGCTGGCATACCAACAATGCTGGGCTAGATTGCGTACATTCCGCGCGATCTAGGCCAGTACCGAACAATAGGTTTGAAGCACCGCGCTCTTTTAACCGATCTCTCCTAGGTTACGTCGAATATTCGGGTCAATAGACCGATGGAGGTAACCTTTTTTAATGTTTATGTGTTTCTAAAACGATTGAGGATCTAATTGATCAATTAAAATAAATAAAATATGAGTTATAAGAAACAATCATCTTTTTTATGTTCCGAAACACAATAATCAGTTAAATTATCGTTTCGTTCTACTAAATTTGTGCGGAAATTGCTATCTCTCAAATTGGGACGAGCTCAGGTATAGGTCATCAGAAGATCTGATATCAGTCTGATAAGATTCATTTGTAATTGTTGAAATTTGTTAGGGTTAATTGCATCATTTTTTAATTTATAAATTATTCTCTTTTATGGTCGTTTCAATTCGTAACTAATCAATAGTTTATGCAAAGCGACTTAAAAAATCATACACCAATAAGATTATGTTACATTTAGAATAGAATAAAGGTAAAAATCTAATTTAAAAACATTCAATTCGTTGCCAGGATGAAGAATCATACTAAAACGATAGCGTCGCGGCCATGTTTTATGACAGAAAAGTAATCTTGCAGTTTCTTTAACCTAGATAAACGACCGAGATGTCTGTTTAAGACAAACCAATAAATTTAACCAACCCAATAATAACTTGGAAAAGACATTGAGTTTAGCTTCTCATGATATCAGTGCTTCTGTATGAAGAAACCATAAGTGTTCTTGGATCATGGACTAAAGGATATTTAAGAAGACTTTAAAAATACAGCAAAAAACCAAACAATCGCACAACTGTTCATTCTCGCAATTTCTATGACCTTATATGGCCACCCTCGATTGTTAGTTGTGCAACTAAACAGTTTAATTGCTTGCGAAACAATTGAAAATCGCACAACTGGTGCGATAGTTGAGACACAAGTGTTCGCTCTTAAGGTTGTTGTCTTTTAGAAGTATGTTATTTGAAATATTCCATCTATGATTGATAGTTACTAGGATAGTAAATAACAAACCTGCAGGGAGAAGAATTTCTTGGCGGCTTCTATGTTGTTTCGTCCAACTTGTCTCAATTCAAGTATCCTCACTATCATCTCGCCACGACGCTCCACCGCCTATTAAATAAACAATTAAATCATCCACTTCATTATTCTTACATTTCTTTTCAATTTTACTGAATAATAGCAATACTTAGTTCAAAAGATGTCACTTTTAATTTGTCTTTTTTATGCTCGTTAGTGTACCATCCACGGAATAGAATACTTTTGAAAGTAAACGCTGTAAACTGAAGAGCGTTTACTATTCAGTCTGTACTTACAATTAATTACAATGTACAATACATCAATAGAAATAAAGGTAACTAAGATAACCGTTATACCAATAAATATAACAGAAGAACATTATTCTTACAAACAACACGGTTAATTACAAGATACTACATTGATTAAAGATACTCCTAAAATCGATATACTGTTATAAATTTTTAAATGTAGAATGTATGTTAGAGGTGAAGCTGTAACAAATGTTATTTACCTCGAGCGCCGCGGCGGTGGTGGCGTCGTGGTCGTTCTCGACCATCTCAATCTGCCTGAATATTTCATTGCTCACACCCGATACCTGAAATACGATACAAACTTATATTCTATATAGTCTGAGTTTATTTTTATCCAAGATCCAATCTTTTAGCTAGACTTTAGATATATTTTAAACGTAAGATGTTTACTCAGATACCTTCTTATTAAAGATACAAAATGCTCACTCTTTTGCTCTGTTTAACAATATTAAAGCACGTACCTTTCGGAAGTCCGGCTGCAGCACGCAGGGCGGGGCGTGGTTAGCGCGTGCCGGCTGCGGCGGCCCGGGCGGCGCGCGGCCCGGTGACGCCGTCAGGTCCGGCGCCGCGCGCCCGTTCTCCTAAACACAACCAAGAACTTATTAACTCTACGTAGCGTATTTATCATTCATTTGACTAGGAAGTGACGAATGCAATTGGTAAACTTGCAATTTTAAAATAGAAAGTATTATGCTTGAATCCGTGTAATTGTTAAAAATCACATCTTCCCAGCTTTATCTCGCACACGTGGAATCGTCGCCAACCAAACCCAATGTTTTCGCTTTATTTTAATAGACAGCCTCCGCCAGTTCAAAACCCTACTTGGAAGAAAAATTATAGGTAGATATATAAAAATGATTTCTAAAAAAATGCCAATCCACCTCCTTATTGAAGTCGGTTATAATACACATGTGTAGAAAACATATGTTTTTTATAATTATTCTTATAATAAATATAGACTATATTTAAAGCTAGTATTTAGTTACTATTTTTTTGTAATTTTATTAAAATGTCGTGGGGTCATAGATATTTCAATGCTCGTGTTTTATTGCATGTCAGTTGTAAATACAATTCACCGGGTCACAAACGCCGTGCATCTAACCTGCACATTCGTTCTATTGTTGAAAGTAGGTCGGGGGCGTGAGCGGGAGATTGCATCTCCACCACAATATCGATATGCGACTCGCTCTATATTGTATTTAGTAATTGGCATGTCAACCTTCGCATACAGTAAATAACAGAACATTGTAAAATACTAAAGCTGAATAAAATAAAATTTAAAAAACAATATTAACTGAGTAACTACCGGTTTTAGCTAATAACGCCCTGCGAGACATACATATCTGTACATAGAGAACCCCCTTTTTGTCATACATAGAAGAGGGGCGTTAATATGCTCGTGTGTTTCTTTGACTTTGGCGCCCCTTTCTGTCTTGCGCCCTGGGCGGTCTCCCAACCCTATACTAACGCCAGCACGGAAAATGTTCCTTGACCTTTTAAAAAAAACTAAAAATAAACTCCTTATAACTTCGGAGTTAACAATCATAAATATCGTATTTCATTTGTCACAGTTGGATTAAATCTTTCCGTGACATTTCATTTGCTTTGCGAAATGTATTACAGTCCTTTCGTTAACATAAAGAAAAAAAGGCAATCGGAATACCGCCGGCCAACCCTTTTCATTCAGGAGTTATTACTCGACAAACGTAAACTCCGTCGTCTTATTTCCGTTCCGCAAAGCCATCGACGGGGACAAATTCCCGCATCCTATTTTCCGGTCTGGAATCAATGTATGTCGCGCACTTTGACTGATAATAAATCATGGAACTGTATTATTTATTGAAATATAGAAATACGATATAAAAGTTCATCTACATACACTTTAGCATCGACAAATAATAATAATTTAATTTTTATGAAAACGCATGCAATTTGACAATTCTTTCGCTTTTTAGTAGAATTTAAATGCAAAAGACGAGACCATAAAAAATACTACAAGAAATCCGTGTCGTGTTTCCATTTATATAAAAAAAAAACGAAATAAGAATGTAAAAAACATAAGACTAATTCCATAGGTTTGTATATAAAAGTTTATTTTAAATCAAAGAGAACGCGGTAATTCATACAGGAAGTCATTTGTTATAAAAATGGCCGCCAGTTTTAAAATGCTACATCACTGAGACAAAATAGGATACTGCTGTTAACATAAAAAGCGTCAGCGCAACAAAGCAGATTGTTAGGCTTTTGTTTTTTATTCATTTACAAAAAAGTAGGACAAACTGTTTATTGGTATGCCAGATTTGAGTTGTGATTACAGTACTTCAAAGATAATTCACTAACAATGCAGAAATACTTGTTAACTCCACATATTTGTAAATCTAGATTTTGAAATAATCGATAATTTGTTGGAACTGTGGAATATTAATTTGTTTTAAGTTGTAAAATTTGCATCCGAACCTATTTATAAAAATAAATAAATTATTATGAAGAAGAAAGATTTGTATTTCTGTATTTTTGTATGTATTCGATTCACTTAAAATTTGCTGATCCGATTTCAAAAATTCTTTCACCACGAGATAGGTAACTGTGAGTAACATCGCCTATATTTTTTTAAATTCACACGGGCGAAGTCGCGTGCAACAGCTAGTATTTTCTAAAAAGAGGCAAGAGTTGAGTCTGCAACAAAGGATTAGCCATGCTTATAAAATGTTTTTCATTTCACCTAATACATGTTTGTATATGCCGTTAGTATGTTAGATGTATTACTTATTTTGTCAGTACGTGAGTAGACTCTAACTTTAATAAAAGTCGGCACGGAAAATGTTGGTGCACACTGAAATTCGATATTCCGTCGCTTTCCGAAGCTTTTCCTGAACTCCAATCGGTTTCATGAATTCGTGGAAAGAGCTTTTTTTATTAAAGTCAAGAAAGCTTAAGCTTAAGGTAAAGTAAGGTTTTAATTACTTTTACCTTGGATTTACTTAGCTTAAGTTTCCTTTATGAACTTTATAAGGTTTCATCGAGTTACGTATCGTAACTAAAAGCTACGAAAAGACATCATACATTTGCACAACCCTGAAAAAGCTCGAGCAATTGAACGTAGCGTTGACCTGTTAAGTTAGTGCTCCCGTCAGTCTAGACTGTACAGAAATTCGGCAAACGAACAATTTTGTTTCCATGCGATGCGAATGCGTGGGAAATTTGGCGGTCGATCGAGTGCGGAGACGGCGGGGGTAGGTCGGGGGGCGGGGGCCCTGACCTAATTCCCCCCGCGCCCCTTCGCGTACGCACGAGGTCACTGTACTGCAGCTGCAAGCCTCCGAATGCCGCAGAGGTGAGTGGACTTGTGCCGTGAATATGAAATCGTATCGCATCTACGACAATGATTTTCCCGGGATCTTCTGTGACAAAGTCATACTTTTTACCTCTCTGAATATGTAAAAATTAGATCTTTTTCTTTTCTATCTCAGTATAATTGGAATAGGTCTTTTAGTTTTATACTCATCCACTCTTAGCTAAAATTTTTACGTCCTCTTTTATATCTTGGATAAATATGTGCCTAACATTTGGGTCTTTTTTTAATACAAACTCTAATTTTACTAATATATGAATGGATGGATTTTCTGTTTGGATGTTTGTTAGTACGTAAGTCTAAATGGCTCAGCGGATCTTGCTGAAACTTGGCATAGATATAGATAGATATAGTCTGAAAGACAAGGGAACTCCACTTAGGGTTTTCAATGATGCGAAAGGACTTAGTCAAACAATCGATTTCTTATTTAATTTTCATGTTGATCCCTAGTCTAATAAATACTTAATTATAGTAGAATATGAAATAAAACAAATTTAATCACGCAAAGATTTGAGAAAATATTAACGTTTAAAAAATAGGTCGGCTATGAATTACAAACACAACCTTCTCGCAGTAGCTTTGTTGTGTTGAATACAATAAATAGTTTTGTGCAACTACGAAAATGACACTATTGTTTAAGATATTAAAAATATACAAAGAAGTAACAAATAAAGTTTGTATTAAATTATTTACTTAATGTTAAAACGCATAAAGTTAGCATTTGTTAATTTTTATACTTTAACATATAATATAAGATAACAGATTTTTAATCGTTTGTGGCAACAGATTTCATATACCTAAAAATTCCGCGAGACACGAGAACAATAACAATATATTTAAATAAAAAGACAATTTAAGATTAAATCGCAAAAATCATTTAATAACATTTATTTGTACTTATGTTTGAATTTAATCTCAAAATGTTTTATGATGTAGCTAATTTTTAATTGCACATATCTCACGTAAAACGCCAGCTTGCAGTCTGCGATTCTTGGCAAGGTCTACTAAGAATTTAATTTGAAAACTTTAAAAGTTGAGATAAAAATTACATTTCAGTTAAGGTTTTTCAGTTAATTTCAAGTAGCCATTGACTCTAATAAGGTTGTTTAATAATAATTATGTTAGTAAATAGTTATGTTCATTTATTAATTGGAGATTTAGGTCATTCAGGGCTTGTCCCGACAAATTTTAAATTGTCTCATAACATTCCAACGTGTAAAACATGTGATGGAAATATGTTGTTACCTTATCTGACAGTGACGTCATATTTAAACTATCTGAGTCTCTATCAGCCAGTGGTGGGACTGGCCCTTAACCTTTTATTTAAATACACACGCATAAAGATCTTGATTTATTTCATTTGACTATGTTTTTATTATTTCGTTGCATTATATAAAAGTTAAAGCACATTTGGAATCTCACTGATCGATCCTGTTCAAACAGCAATATCCTACGATATAGAAACCGAGGCCTTCTTTATTTCAATCTATTGGGTTTTCAATTTCCAAATGTCAGATGCGCCCCGGGACAGATTAAATACAGTCGCACTGACGTAAGCTTCATTTCGTCTAGACTGTTGCTAAGATTATGTGATGGAAAATGTTTGTAACATTTTTTGCATAAATCGTTGAAAGTTAATATTTTAGTTTATTCAAAACTACTTCGAGAACACTTAAATTGTGTTCTTTATGATTACGTTTTTTATCTATTCTGTATTTCATCAAAATGTATGAGCTGATTTAAACATGACCTTCTAACAAATATACGAGTACATACATTTAAAGTTTCTTATTTATAATATTAGTAAGATTGCGATATTGACAAACAAAAATGGGTTTTTAGATTTTTCGCAAACAAATAATAATTTCTCAGTTTTTTAAGAATTAAAATTTATAATTTTTATATTTGTCTCCGTTCTTCCTATTTGTGTAACGTAAAAAAATGATAAAATTAAAACGACTTCATTTCACTTCATCGGTTCTTTCATAACCTAGCTGCAATGTTAGACTGCAGTCTACCCGTTACAATTTAGCCGGCCTGATAGTATTAGAAACCTTTGCAACTCCATGGATTATAAGGGCTTACTTAACGTATAAAGCTAAGCATTTAAATACAAAATGTACATAGAAATTAAATCTATTTTTTATAGCTATAAAAGCTCTTAAGTTCTATATTTAATCACAGACATAGAGTTCTTATCGACCTTAGAAATATCAGTAAAAATATGCT